CGGCAATGTCCCGGCAATGTCCCGGCAATGCCCCGGCAATGTCCCGGCAATGTCCCGGCAATGTCCCGGCAATGTCCCGGCAATGTCCCGGCAAAGCTCCGGAAATTCTCGGAAATGTCCCGGCATGGGTCCGTAAATGTCTCGGCAATTTCTTGGCAGAGCTCCGTCAATGTCTCGGAAATGTCCCGGCAAAGCTCTGGAAATGTCCCGCAAAGCTCCAGAAATGTCTCGGAAATGTCTCAGCAATGTCCCGGCAATGTCCCGGCTAAGCTCCGTCAATGTCTCGGAAATTCCCGGCAAAGCTCCGGCGATGTCTCTGCAATGTCCCGGAAAAGCTCCGGCAATGTCTCGGCAGAGCTCCGGCAATGTGTCGGCAATGTCCCGGCAAAGCTCCGGAAATGTCTCGGAAATGTCTCGGAAATGTCTCGGCAATGTCTCGGCAATGTCTCGGGAATTGCGGGGTTGGAAGGTATGTCGTCTCTTTTATGCCTTGGAATTGAGAAAAAAACAATGGTCAGGAATGCATTAAAATTCTCAGTCAGGCAAAATATTTACCAGAAAAATTACGACAATTTGGCCACCATCAAAACTTGACATTATATTGGAAAAATAATAGAAATAAAATGTCATAATTTTTAAAACGCATTAATAATATATATATTTTTTTTTAAATTGAAAAAAAAAATTCGCCCTGCATACTTGAATGTTTCTCTCTGAATGTATTTGCAATAGGATTACTTCGACTATTTGAATTAATTCAATATTCCATCATTCTCTTACCACCGAGCTCATCAGACGACGGAACACTTCATTTTAACAAATATCTTCCCAGACTTGAAGAGCTGCAAACTTTAAGCACTTAGTTCAGATGTTCTCAAACTGAGGGTCGCGACCCCTTTGGGGATCCCACGGCCCTTTCCCAGGGGTCGCCTAAGACCATCTGAAAACGCATTTGCTAACAGCTACGAAGTAGCAACGAAAAGAATTGTGTGGCTGAGGGGGTCGCCACGACACGAGAAACTGTCTTAAAGATTCGCGGCATGGGGAAGGTTGAGAACCACTTACTTAGGTTTGTCAACAACGTCGCCATGATTTAAAAATAATGGAATGAAGTCACACTACGCAGACACAACAAAGCTATGTTGATTTGTTTCTACGATACAACTTTATAAATAATGTCATCTTATAGGAAAAAAAGACGTGACTCATTAAACAAACAACTCACAGAGCAACTTTCCATATTCTCCTAATCGACTTGGATGCGCATTGCGTTAACATGATATTTGGGAGGGGGGGGAATGGAGTGAAATCAAATATTTAGTCTCATTATCTAATTAATTATCCCTCCTTTCACCGTCATTATTTATAATTACATTGTGATTCGATTCAATTATAATTAATGTTATTCAAACATAATCCTGAGATGTGTTTGCACGTCATTGCTGTTTAACGAATCGAAGAGATCACGCCCGGAAATTAATTAAAATTTTTTTCTTCTCTGTGCTACTTTTTTAAAAAAAAGTTGTCTTTCCCGGATTCAAAATGTAATAAATGATGCTCTGTGGGCGGCGTGTTTGGGTGAAAATGAATGCACCGTCTAACGAGAGGGCATCAGATTGTGGTAGTTTGTTGAAGTTCTGTTTTCTATAGGGCATTGGGTCGTCACGATGAAATGTTGATACTGAGCTTTACACATTCTTCTTAACCTCTCATTGTCCACTGAAGCGGTTAAGAGTCAATTAAATCTGCTGGTGCCTTCGATACAAGGCATCCTCAACCCCGCCCACAGGGCCAATGCTCTTAACGTTACAAACCAACCTTTTGACGTGTCCCAGGACGCCCAGGGCTGCCTGAACAGAAACGTGATATATTTGGGTAGCAACATTATTTTTTTAATATAAACTTTAAAATAAAAATTAACTTACGTTAATTTTTTAAAAAATGTATTATAATTTTTCTAGCAATGCATCCAATAGCATGACTACGGCGACCCCACCAACATCCCGGCGCCGCGGCGATGACGACGTCAGCACGGACTTCATGCTGCTGTACATGTCGATCACGCTGGGTGGCGTCGAGTGGGTCATCACCGTCATGGGGATTGCGTTCAATGCCGTCAACGTCGCCGTGTTCGTGAAACAAGGCTTCTCGGACCCGGTCAACATCAGCCTCCTGGCGCTCACCGTCTCGGACCTCTGCTCCCTCGTCGTGATTCTGTGGAGCAGCCTCTGCTACGTCCAGGCGTTCAGGGACTCCGCCGAGATACCTCTGGTGGCGGACGAGGTGCAGCTGATCACCGGCGGCTGGCCGCACGTGACCTTCACCAAGGTCACCGCCTGGATCACGGTCTTCATCGGGTTCGAAAGGTGCCTGTGCGTCCTCAGGCCTCTCAAGGTCAAGTCGATCATCACCCCGAACGTAACGCTCTTCGCGATGATAGCCATCAACTTCGTCGCTCTGGGCTGCGCCTCGTTCGCGTACATTTCTCTGAGAGTCGACTGGGCATTTTACCCTCAGAGGAACATGACCGTTCTCCGAGCCGTCTCCAACATACCCGACTCGAGAACGCGAGAGAGCCTCGACGTCGTCTCGTACGCGATCAACGGCGTGGCCATTCCCATACCGAGTTTTTTCCTGGTCGTCGCGTGCACCGGAGTCCTTGTTATCGAGCTGAGGAAAAAATCGAGCTGGCGAATTTCGAACGCCTCCGCAGACCCCACCCCAATGAAATCAAAATTAAAAGCCGGTGGCTCCAAGATGACCGCCGTGACCACCCGTGACCAGAGGGTGGTCAAAATGGTAATTCTCATCTCGGGTCTGTTCATCGGCTGCTACCTCCCCTCCACCGTGGTGTTCCTTGCCGCCACCATCGAGCCGGAACTGAGTTACGGCGGCGCGTATAGAAATCTGTACAGGATCAGCTTCGCCACCGCCTTCATGGCGGAGGCGATCAACGCCAGCACCAACATTTTCGTCTACTATAAAATGAGCACAAAGTTCAGACTGACACTTAACACTCTGATCATTCGTAAGCTGAAAATTTAGTGGAGTCGTTTTGCGCCAACATCCATGATGTAGGTATTTCCTCTATCTGTATCACTAATAATGTGTTTTAAAAAAACCCAACAAACCAACAAACACTCCAGCATCTAGATCGATTAAAGAGTGCAAAATGTAATTCAAAATTATTTCTTCTGATTTAGAATACCTGAGACCAGGGTTTCTCAAGCTGTGGTACACCTATAGCAAGTGGAACATTAAATTATTTTTGGTGTTAACAAAAATAAATAGTAGAATAGCTTTTTGTTCCAGATGTTCATCGTGATACAATGGGCGAAGTGCGACAATTCATTTGATGGTATTTTTAGTCGTAAAGTTCGAGAGTCACTGGTCTCCATAATGTTCTAACATATTTCTTTATATTTGCCAATTCAAAGGTCTCACTTCATTTGTGTCACTTAATTTTGCCACGTTATGTGCCACTACAGATTTGCCGTGACATTATATCACTTCACATGCGTCATTTCACATGTCTCCAAATATAGACCACCGTGTCACTTCTCGTGTCGCGCGTCGCTCCACATGTGTGACTTCATGTGTGTCATGTTCCACTCTATGTGTGAGACTTTCTGTCCCCTTCTTCTCATGTGTAATGTGTTTCTTCATGTATGTCACTTCATACGGGTAGCCGCATACGCGTTGCTTTAAAAACGCTTCACGTCGTATGTGTAGCTTTAAATTGCCACTCTATGAGAAGTTTCATAAGCATGTCATCGAATGTGTCATCTCACGTGTGTCTCTTCATATGTGCCATGCGCCACTTCATATGCGAAATGTTTCGCGTTATAAGTCATTCATTTTTGTGATACTTTGTTACGTCACTATTTATTTCATGTCACGTGCTACTTCATATGTGGCGCCGACTATGTGTCACTTCAAATTTGTCACTTCAAATGTGTCTCTTCAAATGTTTCACGTCATATGTGTCACTTCAAATGTTTCACTTCAAATGTGTCACTTCAAATGTGCCATTTCAAATGTTTCACTTCAAATGTGTCATTTAAAATGTGTCACTTCATATACTTCATATGTGCTACTTCATATGTGCCACTTCATTTGTGTCGCGTCTTAGACGTTTCGTGTTTCTCATAAGATCGTTTTGGAATGGGCGGGTGTGTGGTGGGGGGGGGGGGGGGCGAGTCTTACCCCAATCACAGGATATTGCCCAAACTCACAATATATTTTGTACAACTCGAACTTCAAATCTTAAGGGTTTCTTAAGTGGAAGCCCTATGGTCTCTCACCCCCCTCCCCCCGCCCTTTATCCAAATCCCCTCTTCTACATTCTTGAATTTCAGTGCACACGCACTTCAAACAGGGCCCTAACAATTTAAACACTGAGTCCTTAAGGCTCTCATGACGTAATGAGGGATCTACAAGAACCAATACAAGCCTATCTCTAAATCACGTGACTCTCCCCAGCAAGAGAAACAAAACCGGAAATGGAACTAACACCTCGGGAGTAGGGGGAGTGGGGGGAGAGTGCGTCGCCCAATATTGACCAATAAGAAGAGACATGAAAAGGGGGGCGTGGAGCTGCAACTCATTCAAGCATCGATTCTATACTCATGTTATTTTAAAAGCTCCTTGGTCGTTATATTCATTCACCACAAACTCCCCCCCACCCCCTCCACACAAACTTTTAAAAACATAAAAATCTGATTCCATGTCTTGGGGTTGTTGTTTTTGTGTGGTGGGAAGCTTGTGTGTGTTCAATTATATATTACGTTCCCTTGTGCATTCCATCTTGATGCAAACTATATATTTCATGCACTTTTATCACATAATATGAGCAGCGTCTTCGGAGCATTGCATTGCCCAGTGATGGAGCTGGGGCAGCCTCGTCTGTCGTTAATTTTAAGGCGGAAAAAAAATGTTAACAAAAATTGTGGCCAAAATCAAGGCTGTCGACCCAGATGAGGTCAATTTAAAAAAAAAAATTAAGCAGTGAAATTTATTTTAATTAAATATAAGAGCCCGTTTTTTCATACTCTATAGTCTTACTATCTCAGCTATGTCAGTGGACTTTCCAAATCGATAACACCATCGCCGAGGTTCCCCTGTTGAAACTAAGTGTGCTGTGTATGACGTCATAGAAAGACATGATGGCGCTGTTCATGCGTGGTTTGGGAACAAAAAAAAAAAGGGGGGGGGGTGCAGGCAGCACAACAGTTAAATCCGGTTGACCAAGTCAAGTGGCAAGTAAATTAATGAAAAAGTCCCTGTTGAAACTAAGTGTGGTGTGTATGAGGTAATAGAAAGACATGATGGGGGTGTTCATGCGGGGTTTGGGAACAAAAAAAAAAAGGGGGGGGGGTGCAGGCAGTACTACAGTTAAATCCGGTTGACCAAGTCAAGTGTCAAGTAAATTAATGCATAAGGAATGATTTTCACGGTACCCCTGAACTGACTTGGCGTGAATATCATGTATTCACTCGAAAGACCGGCTCGAAAATCCCACTTGGACTTAAGACACAAGTGGCTAGCTGCTTGGAGTCAGAGAGATACGAAACTATTCAAAATAGTATAGTTCTCCTTTACGTCATGTAGTCCTTTCATTCATCCTATATTATGGAACAATGTTGCTTGGGTAATTTATGCTAGAATCACCCTTCACCTTTCCTGAGATTATAAGGTTGTTGAAGTGAATTATAAGCCTTTTTTTTTGGGAATACCTATTTATTATAAATAAAGTTTGTGCAGATTGTGACAGTTGCACTTTTTAAAATTGGTAATCGCTTTTTTGTGGAATACTTAATGCGCCCATTCTCACTCAGACTCTACCCTCTGCGGTCCCCGGATAATTTGAGTTTGAGATTTCCAGGACGTGAGCACTGTAGGAGTGAGACCTTCTTTCCAAAGTCCGTTGTGCATCTCTGACTCACTCAAGACTGGCAGTCCTAAGACTGAGTCCATGGTGTCGGATTCTAATGGCTAAACCGAGATATGCAGTCCTAAGTACGAGGCCATACGAGAGACAGATTCTACTGGCTCACATGAGACTGGCAGTCCTAAGTACGAGGCCATACGAGAGACAGATTCTACTGGCTCACATGAGACTGGCAGTCCTAAGTACGAGGCCATACAGGTGACGGATTCTACTGGCTCACATGAGACTGGCAGTCCTAAGTACGAGGCCATACGAGAGATAGATTCTACTGGCTCACATGAGACTGGCAGTCCTAAGTACGAGGCCATACGGGAGACATATTCTACTGGCTCACATGAGACTGGCAGTCCTAAGTACGAGGCCATACGGGAGACAGATTCTACTGGCTCACATGAGACTGGCAGACCTAAGATTGAGTCCATGGCTGTGTCGGATTCTACTGGCTCACATGAGACTGGCAGTCCTAAGATTGAGTCCATGGCGGTGTCGGAATCTACTGGCTCACATGAGACTGGCAATCCTAAGATTAAGTCCATGGCAGTGTGGGACTCTAAATGCGCTGTTTCTTCAAACTGGAGATATTTATTTTCATTAATTTTTGGCTAGTCAAAAAAAAAACCAAAAAGAAAAAAAAAAAAACCCAAAAAAAAAAAAAGAAAAAAAATTTAAAAAAAAAAAAAAATTAATAAAAAAAAATATAAAAAAAAAAAAAAAAAAAAAAAAAAAAAAAACAAAAAAAAAAAAAAAAAAAAACCCAAAGAAAACATAGGGTTAACAATTTCAAAAACAAAAAAAATTTGTTAAAAAATTTTAAAAAAAAAAATTACAATAACTTAAAAAAAAAAATTATCAGTAAGTACATTTTCTATAGTCCCATTCAGTTAACTCTTTTTCAAGATCATGTTATTTCTAAAGAACACTTAAAAAAAAAAAACAACCCACAACGTTCTGGTTCATCATCATCTATTTACTGTGACGCTGTTTGCCGCGCTTGTCCATTTTTTAAATAAAGAAACACTCCAGGCACTTTAGTATCTTCTTCACTGTGAAGGACTTCGTCCCCGTTACTTATTATTTAATAGATTGGGAACATATTATGTGAAATTTTACTTAAGTTCATTAAATTTTTTGTCGTTTCTTCGGCTGTTTCCAAATAAACCAAGTGCCGAAAAACTTCTCTCAGCTTTATTTGATTAAAACAACTTCTTCATAATTTGTTTCATGCCTTTAGAAAAAAAGAAGAAAAAGAGATTTCTTTCATCTTCCGGGTCACTTACTTTACTTTCTTCTCTTCTTCACCGTGAAAGACTTCGTCCCTGTTAATTATTATTTATTTATTTAGGCATTTTTATATAGCGCTTACCATAAAGCTCTAAGCGCTTTACAATTATTAAAAACATGTAAACTAAGTAAAATAAAAATGAGACACTAGGATAGTACCTACTATACTATAGAAACAATGAAAATGGCTATAAAACGAGGACACTTTGACACGTTTTGGCCTATACTTCAGGATCAACCCGAAACAGAAAATGAGGCAGGGCAAGGAGGGTGCATCACAGGTCATAGGCGGACCTAAACAGATGAGTTTTAAGGGACTTTTTGAAAATGGACGAGGTTTCACAATGACGGATATGGAAGAGGAGCTGGTTCCAGAACGTGGGCCCATGGAAGTCTAAACCACTACAGGAATACCTCTAGTGTTGGCAGCATGCTAGAAACACTAGGCTGGTCACCATTGGAGAAACGACGACGACAATCCAGGCTCTCCATGATGTACAGGATAAATAATGGGCTGGTCCACTGTTCCAGTATTAAACAGAAACTCGTCCCTCTCCCCCATAGACAGCGACGAGGCCATGACAGGCAATTCAGGCTCATACCAGCATCTTCGGTCATATCCTCGACGAGTAAGGAGCCCAAGACAATCAGGGACTGGAACAATCTTTCAAAAGGAACGGTTGAGGCGACAACACTAGACACATTTGTGTCTATTGCCTCAAGCCTTCAAACCCATAGTGCATGATTTCCTCATCAACACCAGTAACAGAAACATTGCAAATCCCATCTACATGCATAGGAGCCAAAATGATCAATAAATTGATCGTGGGCCCTTAAGATATAGAAGAAGACGAAGTAGAAGGAGCGTTCTTTAATAGATTGTGAACATTTTATGTGTATTTAACTTAAATTCATGCATTTTTTCTTCTTTTAATGGTAAAGGCATGCTGCCGAAAGTCTAAATTTGTAATTTTTCCTCCTT